TTTTTTTTTTTTTTTTTTTTTTTTTACCTTTAGTTTTAAAGAGTTCAGCTTTTCCTCCCTGAGGTGTTCTCTCAGCATCTCCCTGTGAAGTCTCTCTTGTTCTCTTGCAAATTCACCAAGAGTGTACTGGCGCACGCTGTTATGGCGGCTGGACATGCCCAAGGTGCTGCCCCCTTGACTGGGCACGCTCGTGAAGCCTTGCCTCCTGGTGAAGTAGTACACGGTGACACAACTAAAATGCACATTCTTAGTCCTTAGCCGCTTCTCTCTTTTGAGGATGGAGGAAGCTGAAAGAGAAAGGAACAATTCAGTGAACACCAGGGCAGCATTTTTCAGATGAGATGGAGAATTAGAAAGTACCATTTGATGATATTGAATCTATGGTCAACCCTTTTTGGCTAGGAGATACTAAAAATGTTATATCTGAGAGCAGGCACCGATTTCTATTTCCTTTCTTAAATTTTCTTCTAGCTGTAGTAGAGTAGACTTCTAAGTCTTCTATAATGGCTATCTAAGCAAACTTTCAGGAAAGTTGCCAGTAGTCTATGAATCAGCGGCAGAATTTAATTTTATTTCCCTCAACATCTTAAGTTTTGGTTTTATGGTTTTCATATGAGTTGCATCACACTCTAGTCAGAAAAGACGCACTACAGATTCTTATGTTCTGGATCTTATTTTTATATTGAGGGCACTTGGCATAGAAAAGTGTCTATTTACAAATTTTAGAAAGTTTTAAAAAGCAATACAAACTCACAAAAAAGGCTCAGTGGCCTTATTAAGACATTTTTACAACCTAAATCTAACAAAGCTTTCATTTGATAAGAACCACACTTACATAGCATTACAGACAGTGAGATTGTATTACAAGGATACACTAAGACAATTGAAGATGATCATGAAATATATCAGAACCTTTATTATTAGTTACAGGGACACTAAGATGCACTGAACATCATAGAAGTCTGATATACACACTGTAGTTGAAGAAAAGAGAGACACACATTATAAACATGACCTTTTTGGAGTTGGAAGGCATGCTAGACATCATCTAATGCAGTCCTTCTATCTTATGAAGTAGGCCAGACTTGCAGAATTTTAGCGAGTTTTTGCAATGCAGATACTTAGTGACAAAGTTAAACTTAAACCTAAAAACCCACAATGTGGTGCCATATTATATGATGCTTCTCCACTGGGGAAGGAAAAGTTCACTGAATTGAGGAGTAAAATACAGAACTATGCTCTTATATATGTCATTCCCCCCCGCCCCACTCCACCACTATGTTGAAGTTCTAACCTTCAATACCGCAGGATGTAACCTTATTAGGGAATGAGGTCCTTATATAAGTGATCAAGTCGAGATGAGGTCATTAGGGTGGGTGTTAGTCCAGTACAACTGGCGTCCATATAAAAAGGGAAAATGTAAACACACATGGACGGAGGGATGATATAAAGAGACAAAGGGAGAAGTCCATGTGAAGATGGACACAGAGATTGGGAGTGTGATGCCGAAAGCTAAGGGATGCCTAGGGCTACCAGAAGCTGGCAATGCCAGGAAAGCTACAGCTTCTTGAGAGAGCATGGTTCTGCTAACATGTTGATTTCAATCTAGTCTCTAGAACAGTGGGACAAGAAATTTCTGTCGGGCTAAGCCACTGAGTTATTGGTACTTTGTTTCTAAACTAATACGCATGTTCAAGTAACAGAAACAATAAATTGAGGAAAAATCCTTGGACAGCAACAGATAATTATAAGCTAACATTTATGGTGTGCTTCCCAAGTGCTATACCATGCAAAGAATTTTACATGAATTATCTCATTTTATCCTTACATCTCCTTGGGTTGGTATTACCCATGTCTCCAGTTGAGGAAACCAAGTCACTAAAGGTTAAATGACATTGTCAAAGTCATGAAACCAGTAGTGAAGCTGGGATTCATCATTCCAGGGTCCAGGCTCTTAACCACCATGTCACACAGACAGCTGAAGCCACCCTAAGGTAGCTGAACGAGGCTGAGGCTCGGTGTCATACTACTTCTGGTAGATGTCAGCTGCTCCGGCCTTCAAAGAGGATTTTGATTTAGAAGGCTATATAAGGCTGTATAAGCATTGAGAGTAAAGGGACTACAGTATCACTTTGAATTTATATAAGACTCTTCTTCCAAAGAGGTTCAAGTTCCTTTGTCTCATATGCCACCCGCCCCGCCTCACGAAGCCTTCCAACCAAAAACAGAGAGGCTGTTATGATTCATCTCATTGCATGAATTGGTTAATTCAATAACTATAACCCAAGGGCCTACCATGTGCCAAGCACCTTCCAGATGATTGGATATATTACTGAAAAAAGCAGATGGGGATTCCTGCCCCCATGGAGCCTCCATTTCCAGGAATGAGAAATGCAGACAGAATGAACAGATTCAGAAGTTGACAGAGTTAAGCGAAATATGACATTTGGGCAAGAATTTCATTTTCCCAACTTCTTCTCTTCTCTACTGCTTCACTTCTCCAGAGGAGATTGCCAGAAAGCAAAGGCTTTCAGATGTGTACACAATTTTCCCATTTTATTTATGTATATGTTCACTGCACATACTTGTACTCCTGACAGCAGAGACAATTTTCAACTTTGATTTAAAAGCTCTGAACTGCTTCATAACGGTACATTTAAATCATCTCAAAACAGGGAAGAATTTGTCAAAATGTAAAAGATTACCGTCGAAGGAAAAATTCAACAACCTGCCTAGTAATCTGCCATCCTATCTGACAGTCTCATCTGTCACTACCTTATGGCAGGCAAGAGCCTCTGGTTTGGGGGTGATAACCTTCAACCTTTTTCACTCTTGATATCATAGAATGATGCCCTTAAGACATTACCTTTCAAGGCCATGACTTTACAGATTTAAAAAAAAGATTTTAATGAACTCATTTAAAATAATTATTATAAAAATCTCTCATGAATGACCTTATTACTTATTTTTTAGGTAATTCATGGTAGTCTAGACAAATTTTCTTTTTTAACATTTATTTAGATTTGTACCTGTACTTTTAGATTAGAAGAACTCTTCAACCTTCTGGTTGAATCTATTGTGATATGAATCTACCACTTCCCAAAAAGCCACCCTTTGGGAAAATCTACCCTTTTCCCAAGAAGACATAGTTTAGAGACAGTTTTCTAAGGCTCTGAGGATAACGATAGTGGCAGACTGTCGAGTCCCTTCCCCTGGGCTCTTGGCATTGCTAACTAACATGGTCAAAGTGTGTTAGGGTTGGATTGGTATCAGTTTCTATCCACCAAGGTTTATAATTCAAACCTGTGCTTATCCTTGTCCTAGAATTTGCATATTATAAATAGCACGTAAAAACAATGACCGAAATGCCTATGGAATATATTTAAAAGGAAAGCTTTGAAATACTATAAGATCAACCTTGTGGGAGATATTTTAAATGTGGCTTTTCTGAATATAGGAGCCACCCACGACTCTCTTCTGATGATTGAACTGGAGAACTAGAATGGGCCTTTATGGGCTATCTCCTGTCTCCAGGCCCCAATTTGACTAACATCACAAAATAAAGTCCTAAAAAAAAGAGTCTGTGTTCCTCAAGCCTGAGAAAAACAGGCCAGATTCACTCAGCACATCTGCCTTAGGGAATCTGAAACCTCCCTCATATGCCTACCTCGCCATTTGTGCCATTTGCAGAGGGATTGAACTCCACTTTGTGTCTCTACAGAGTTCAGAATTTACTTTACCACCGTGAGGTCAAGAGCAAGTAGAAAAGGGGTGAAGGTGTCTTTCACTACTTCTTTGAAAAATAATTAGTCTGTTTTCATACATGATACTGGATTTTTTTCATGTCTTTCATCACAATTTCTTTTATGGCATTCACAGTTACCACTCTGAAGCAGAAGTGTCTAAATGCCACGGCACTATGTATACTGCCCAGGACACAGCCCCTGAGAACACCATTATGGTTCCCACCAGGGTACACTGGTGCTACTGTAAAATGATCACATATTATGGTGACAAAATCGATCTTGGTAAACTAAAGGAATAAAGAGCACAGAGTGACTGATGTTAGTTATCTGCAGAATATAGCCTTCCTAAAATAATGCTTTAGAAGTGAATGGGGAAGAGAACTGAGAAATTGCCTAATTCACAATGCCAGGATAAGAACGTAAGTGGATAAAATAAAATAATCTGTGCCATAAATTACATCAAGATTTCACGAACAGAGCGGATTAGAAATGGAAGCCAAAACTCAAAGCTGGGCACATGTTTCCAAGACCATCCTGGGAAGCCAATGCTTTGATGGGACAATCAAATTAAGCTCTAAGAAAATTCATCTGACTCTGCTCCACTTCCACACTCATCAACCAACCTGTTTACACAAATTGGAATATATCCTCAGATCAACAAGATTATTCAGTTGACTCATTAATTTTATCTCTTGCTGAAAATAATCAGATTTGCTTCAGATGTATAAGTCAGTCATTTCTGAATGTGGTATGTGTCGTTCCATCTGAGACTGTCTTCTCTGCAGGCAAGAGACCATCCTGTCTCTGGGCCCATAAAATTGAAGACCAGATCTTAGACCATTGATGGCACCATAGTGCAGCACTCCAGAGCTAATAATGCTTAAGCAGCAAGCCAGTGACCCTCTCAAGGCACTTGTTCTTTTTAGTGTCAACGACTATCAGCAAAGCACTGGCATAGCCTGACAGGCAGAGAGCAGTAAACAGAGCTTTATTTTTTGGCACTAAATTTGATACATGGTGGTTGAGATTTTGTGGTCCAGTCTGATGTCAAACAAGGGGCAAATTATGGACAATATTAATTCTACCATGGGGGTCTCAAGTCAATAATAAACTTCTCTCTCCTATGTACTGTGCTCAAAAGGAAAATGCCAGATGATTTGTAAGTCCAAATTTTGAGTTTATTTGTCACTTATTTGGGGGAAATTTGGTCTAAGCAAAATGAAATTACTGAAATTAACTTGTTTATCTGGTAAATCCTGGGCAATAAAAACTCTTGTTTTTTAAAACATACACACCAAATTAATCAGGGGCTCTGGAAGTGTGCATGCTGTTTCTTACCTTTTGAAGAACAAATCAAGATCAAATCAGTTATGAAGTCATGAAGCCTAGCTTACAAACAGAAAATATTTTTACCAGTTTTACCAGTTTTACCAGAAAATATTTTGTATAAAAATTAGCCTCATAGCTCAGGCATCACGTCAATTTCCAATGGTTAAAGTTACTAGGATTAATACAAAATATGCCCTAGTCTTTGCAAATGG